AAGCTTTTAACATCCTTTACCAAGGATACTTGTTGTTAAAGGTGTTAAGATGGCTAATTGACTTGTTCCTAATGATTGCTTTCATGATATTCAACCGAAGAAGTTTGATGTTTGAATTGTGTTTGCAAATGAACATTCATCTAGACATAGAGTTTGTTTAGAATTGTGTCTAGGCCTAAGGTAGATAGATTAATTGATCGCTTGCCACTCTTAGTTCGAAAACTGATCATCCAAGGTCATTGTTCCCTATACCCATGGATTCTCCCGTCTCTTAATTGTTAAAGTTTATTTTGTCATTGCATTCTTTACCTCATTTCAATATTAGTTGTAATTCAAAACCAATCAACCATATGATCGCACTTAGATTAAGCTTGTACTTGTATTCTCGGTGCTTTTAAATCTCTCAGAACTGGTTCGACAATCTTTTATACTACATCATTTGTCTTAGGAGCCTTGAAACTCCTAATATCAAATATCAATCTCTAGCTCGTTGATATTATCTTGTAACAACAACCACACAATCTGCAAATGACACTGAAATTTCAATCCAGCGTATTGTGAAGATCTTGCTACTGGTGCTGTACCAGTAAACTCATCTGAATCAGAGTGACCCTTGTCTTTATATGTTAGCTCAGCAACTAATCATAATGTGACATTCTCATGTAGGTTGTGCAACTTGAGTTTATGTAATGGTCTGAATCTCCAACAATGCCAAACAGAAAAATCCATATTTTCAGAAGCTTTTGAATTTGACGTTGATTAAAAATTGTTTCTTCATTCCCATGCTTAGCCCATCCATAAATCGAATGTATAGTCTTCGATTCTTTCTTGCGTTTATACTCGAAGTGCCAAGACGTATCACACTTCAATTTCGGATTTGTATTGAGAATATCTTTCTTCCATGCTTGAGAAGAATACAGTTTATGAGTGGAGAATGTTTTTCTTCTATCACTAATAAAAGGCTTCTTATTTGTTATATTCTCTAGTTGAACCAAAACATCTTCTTTTATCTCTTTAGAAAATATCTGGCTCTACATCAACATCATTGTTTGTAGCACATGATCACAATGTATATTCAAAACGTCTTTGAAAATTGATGTTTTACCATCAGACATCTTTAACCACAGCCTTCGGAGTGGTCACATCCTTCTACTGAAACGGATTCATATCCTCAATTTTCTTCACGCACCTCTTCTTTACACGAAACACTCATTGAAGTCATTTCCTGTAACTGAGACAATGTGATCAATTATTTCTCCCCCAATCTTTTCCTTCTCGTGAACCAAATCTAAGTCATGAAAATATTATGTTTGAGTAAGCACTTCTGGGAGAAATCTTCTCGTAATTGTGCTAAAACGAGCGGTCAATCTTCTCTTAAACTCTATCCAATCTAAGAATGCTTCACTGGACATTTCTTCATCTTCATCAAGATTCAACGACACTAGAGTTAACTTCTCCTCTTTTGAAACGTTTATCAGTTAGTAGTGATCCATGCACGAGGATACACTCCATCAAATAATGGCTTCAGATCAATCCTAGTTAATATACGGCAAGGTTCCGTAACAGAAACTTGTACCTGATTCGATTGCGTGTATTGTTTATTGTTCGTGTTTTGTTTATCTTCCTCATCCATTGGCAAACGATAATGAAGGACTTTCACCAAAGCTGCTAATGAATCCTCCATCGAATTCATTATATGCTTCCTCTCACAACGCTTAATCTTGAACTCAACTTATAACAACGAATCCATCCTCAACTGATTCATCCTATTAGCCGATTCAACCACCGTCATACTCCATTCCTCGATCGTGTGCTCTGTCGTTCCCCAATTCCTCCAGTGTCGCGTTCGCCGGTCGGTCTATATGTGCACTATACGAAGATAAATTAACCAGATCTAACTAACCAAATAACCAGTTTTCAAATTAGCATCCAATTGAACAAATAAACCGATCGGTCAATTTAAAAAATTTACTTGGTTTTGGTTCGAAAGCAAAATACGATTGGTTTGAAATTTCAAATCTCTTCTCTTTCATTATTGATGTCGAAGAGACTTCAAATCTCGACTTCAAACGGAATCTCAAGCCCCTCTACAATCATGAGCAAAGTCGAAAGTCAAATGTGTCGTCCAAAATTAGGTCAATGCTAAGGAGTTTTGTGAGCTCAGGATTTAATAAGATTGGTATGTTCTTTTTTATAAAAAAGGATTTAATAAGATTGGTATGTTCTTTTTCTAGATTGATATATTCACTTGTTTAATTTTGTTTGTTTGTTGTTCTTGATACAATTTTCTCTTTGTTATAATGTAGTTCCTGAAAGTTGTTTCCAGAAGTTGACAAATCGTGCCGATAAACTCATCATCGAAGAGTATCAGGAGATGCAGATTTTGATCACCTATTAATAAATAAACATTAAATACACTAATAAAAATTAATTAGTACTGTCATCTCTATATTGTCTTTGAATGTATGCATGCTCTCTTTGAATGTGTTTACAAACGGAAAACTCGATCTAGCATAAACTAAGCGTTTTCATCCATTACGTAAAATTACGCAAATAAAGTCTAACTTTAGTTAGTAGTTAATGTTCCGATGGTTTTTGTGGTCATCTCTTCTTGCCAAAATAAAATACAAACATATTCAAACATTCAAAAACCAGCAATAAGCTTGAAACCAAAATCTGAATTTATTACTTTGACAATCAGTTAAGTTGGTTTTTTTTCCTTTTGAGGAATGCTAAACTTAGAAATCAGACATCTTCATATACCTTCAGAATTCAATTGCACAAAATGTGTATTTAAATTTACATCTTTTGATACAACGACAATAATGAATGGAGGACCAACATTCTTTGGACGCAAACATAGCTTCGATGATTAGTCTATTGGCCCGATTGGTCATCCTCTAGAAGGATCTTCGAGAACAACATTATAACAGAGAAAATATTGCATCGCTTAAACGAACAAACAAACTCCAAAAAATTAAAGAAAGTATGTTTTAAACGAAAACAACAACTTACCAAGCTTAGCTTTTCCATTCTTTATACACTTGGGATAGTAAAGATTTTTAAATCCAATGATTTTAGCTATAATCTTACGATTCCAAGTGCACTTGTCATATCTTTTTTCAAGTTTAAGACATTATGGATAGAATTACAAATTCCAAGATTGTGAAAAGGGGTGTTAGAATCTCGAATTCGAGACATTATGGATGGAATTATGATGAATTTGTAATTTGTGACAAAAATTATGATGAAATTGTGATGAATTTTTTTCAAGTGAATTTGTAATGAATTTGTAATTTGTGATTAATTTTTTTTGGCATTCTTTTTGGTATGCCCAAGATTGTGAAAAAAGGTGTTAGAATCTCGAATTTGTGATGAATTACCTTACCAGTAGTAGCACCAGCAACTATTGCCTTTTGAAACTCCATAGTTTCTAATTCGTTTTATCTTGATTTATGGATGGAATTGTGAACTAAACGTGACTATGGTGGTTTGTTCATGATCTGGAGAGGGGGAAGAGAAGTAAGCAAAGAGAGGAGAGGATATTTCAGTTTGGGATCAGTGTTGTAAAGCGAATAGAAATAGTAAAGAGATGAGATGAAATGAAATTGATTTAAGGTTCTTATGTTTTATTGATTTGGAAATTTAAGTTAAGAAATTTTAATTATTAAAATAACGTCATGCAGCCTACAGACAAGACAATATATTGTCTAAAATTTAATTTAAAATGTTTTGGCCAATATAATATAATTTATCTATTTTTTAAAAAACAAAAAAAAACATGAAAAACTGATTATTAAAATGCTCGTTTTCTCAATTATCGGTGTGGAAGTCAAGGATCGATTGATTCTTCTTCTACTATATTGTTTCTCTGGGTTTTGTTTGAACTGGACTATGGATGATTATTATAAAAAAATGGCAAAGTTGTAGAGCATGGATCCTCCTGCTCTGATGATGAGTTTTCTCACTTTTTAAACTTTGTTCCGGAAAAATATTGAGTCTTTTTAAAAGTTAATTTCATCAAAATTGTTGTTGTATTAAGGAAAGAAGACTATTATGCATTATTTGCATATCAAGTCTGTATCAATTCATTGTAATTACTCATGATTCTCTTTTCATTCTTTCACATACGCTCATTGTATAAATGTTTAAATCATCCTTTACAATCTATATGTTGTTCATCTTATTTTCTCTGATTTTAGCTGGGACCTTAAGGGTTTAACTCATGATTTCATCAAAATCCCCTTTGTTAACAAACATATTCAAACTCTTGTAACTTTGTGTGTCTAAGATGCAATTCTGTGACTTTTCTTCAGTTTCTTGCAACTAAACATCCTTTGTTAACAAACATATATGTTGCCAAAAATATTATAATATGAAGAATTATAAACGTCCATAAGTGCGAATCTACCGCTAAGCACTAGGTCAAGGTGGTTATTTTTTAATGACTACATTACAGTACTAGGGAAATTATACAATGGCTGACTAAAACAGATAATTCCTTTTTGAGCTCAGTTCTCTGGCTTCACATTTGATGTCACTGCGGTGGTGGCAGAAGCAACCTCGTAGTTAGTCACATGCTGATGTTGTGGTTGTTGAGAGTGAGACTGGTGATCCATCATATCCCCTGGCCGAGGCGGTGTTGGATAGGTGCTAGGACCTTCGTTATTATTTTCAGGCACCAATCTGTCACAAGTTTTCTGGCTGTTGTTACTGTGACCGTTGTTCAATGGTGGCTGGTCGCAAAATTTCATTGTCTTGAGGACAAAATTGTCGTCGTGGAGCTCAAATGGAGTGCTGAAAATAGAGAGAAGATATTTGTCAGTCATATAAACCGAGTTTTATGGAGAGACATTTGGATGCAAAAGAGAAGGATCATTAACCTGTTGAAATCGAAATGCACGAGCTGCATATCTTCTGATATTTCCACTTCTACGGTCGCATGGGGACGTGTCTGGTGGAGTATAACAACAACAATCAGACGATGACCAAAACACAAACGATCATACTGGTTTGCTTGTGGAATCGGTGACTAAGCTTACCTGGACGAGGATAAATGGAAGAGCAACACCGCCACTTGGAGCATTTCCAGAGCTATACAAGTGCTCGTTTCTCCGTATAAGATTCTGAAGGCCTACATACTATTCAAACACACATAAGAAGAAGAAGAAGAAGAAGAAGAAGAAACAAAAGCATGTAAGAATCTTTCTATGGTAAGTAAGAGAAAACACAGTAAGATCAAGAAGTGGGGGTGTCTATTATTACTTGTTCTTCCAGTTCTTGGAAATATGCAGTTTTCTTTTTAATTCTGTTCCTAAGTGAGAGTCGTTCAGCCTGCAAAGTATTATAAACACAATTTGAGGAACAATTTTCTAAACACAGCGAAGTTGGGGTATGAAAACCTTTAATTCTTCAATGTCGCTCAAGCTTGTGCGAGGAAGACCTCTCCATTGAATCTCTTTTTTATCCTTGGAGATTATATCCATAGCCATGAGGACGTTTAAAGCATCATACACTCTTCTTCTTATGTTCTTCTCATCATACTGTTGCTGTTTAAAAAAAACAGATTTTAGATGATGTAATTCTATCATAGGTTAAAGAAAGAAGTGCATACCTGATCAGGGGATGATCCATCGTTATTGGGGAGTGCAAACTCAGCAACAAGCTCGTCCGCAACCTGAAAATGCTTTCACCTGTCAGATACTTTATTATAGAGCTACATGTTTCATGAGACCATTTGATATATCCACTATCTGTGTAATGTTGAACTCAGTACAATGAGATAACAACGTAAAGACAAGTGAACGGATCTTCTTGTAAGGCCAAGATATTGTGGAAAAACTAGGCGTAAGTACCTCGTTGTAAGTAGTCCTTTCTTTGCTTTCCACCTTTTCACAAACTGAGAGGAATCCATAAGAACACAAGATCAGTTAAAGGTATAACCAAAACTAAAAGGCATCACTGACAATTCATTAGGATGAAGAAGAAGAAGAGAAGAGAGACCTTTCATGCTAAATTGACGTAGGCCTCTTCCAGTTTTATCAGGACCAGACGCACGCTGTCCCCTCTTCTTCTTCTTCTTACCACTGCTAATAGATTAATGATCAGTCAAAAATACACAAAAAAAAAGAAACTTTTAAACAAGTTCCAGTGAGAATGAAAGCACATTAGCATCAACCAACAGTTTTCATTGTCAGGGAAAGGATAATGGGGACATGAAGCAAAATAAAGAGACTCTAACTACATACATACAAGCTTGGTAATAGAATGATCCACTCCCGACACCCATACTTACTTATATTTAATTGATTAGGTTTCATAAATCCATTATGCAAAACAAAACATTCACAACAAGTCTAAGCTCCAAAGAAAAAAAGCGGCAGACATTGCTACAAACTGATTCCCATTAAAAGGAAGAGACTTTAGAGATACCCATAAGAAGGTTCTTGAGAAGCAGCATCGTCCCCTTGAATGTCCAAATTGTTGAGTTGTAGAAAGGCACTGTCACTAGCAGATGGTGTAGTAGCCACGGTGGTTGTCTGCTCGCTCCGGCTCGAAGGAGAGCCCATACTGCCGCTAGTGGACACGGATTGAGCTGTGCCCCAAGACCTCGTACTAGGGTTGTTGTTGTTGTTATGATTAGAATTAGACCCATTTGTTGTTGTTGTTGTTGTCATCCTTATTCTCCGCCTAACAAACTACCCCCGAGAATTTCGTTAAAAAATTAAATTAAAGTTTTGATTTTTTTGAGGAAAAGCAAAGATGAGAATTTACCTTATAGTTTGATACTTCTCTGAAACGAGAATCTTTGCCGCGGAAGAAGGATAAGTCGATCTGAACTGAACTGAGTAATGTTTTTTTTATTTTCTTTTGGATTTGAGAGGGTTTTTTAATCAGATTATATGATAAGGAGGAGAAAAAAAAAGGATCTACAATGAGGGACCAAACTGATAATAATTCCATTTTTGTTTACTCGCCAGATTTTAGATTTCTTTTTTCTTTTTTTTCACCATATTTTAGATTTAAACTACTAAAACTCTAATACATGAATGAAATGTGTTGTTGTGTATACGAGAATACAAGTAAAAAAAAAATGAATGATATGATATAATCATGTTAATTAGATAATATTCACATTGATAATGTTTTTCTAACCACTATTGACGTTGTTTCAAAAAAAATGCAGATCCTAGACGTAAACATGTTGCTATCTCATTTGAAGATTTGGAACATCATCCTTTAAAGGTTATGAATTGAACAATAGATGAGATATATACCTAGGATTTTGACTCTAGCAACTTGAGGATAATAAGGAAAAAACTATAAGCCAATCTCGTTCATAACTAACGAAGATATTAATAGATGGGCAATCTGGAAGAATGACCAAACCGCGAAAGAATTGGAAGAAATTATGAGTTTGGAGCGGAAAATTTAATAGTAAGCATTCTTTCTATATGGCAGATAATTTCAAAACATAAGGGCGTTGTTGAATATTCTGAAGGATCTATATATATAAAGGATACTTTTCATCCCTCTCATTCATCCACGTAGGATATTCCCAATTTCCCCTTTTGACACGTGTCCAAATCGAAATGGGCTTCTTAAAATTTATTGACCCAAATACGGTTCAGCCAAAAGCCCGTTTGTGATTGGCCTCTTTCAGCCTGTCTCCCTCTCCCACGATGTAAGCTACGTTTACTTCGTCGACCCACCGCTTTTGATATCATCTGAGCTCGCATCTTCCTCTCTATGTCGATTTGTTTTCCATCGTTACAGTGTTATATGCAGATTCGTTTATCATTGATGATAGTAATTATCACTCCCCCACGATCTGCAATCAATCTACTCTTATCAGTTCAGAGTCGGTGTATAAGCTGTATATATAGAGGTGAGATCCTCATTTTCTCAGAATCATTCACGATCTTATATCTCACAGATTCATTAGTTTCTTTTGTAATGGCTTTGAGCAGAGTTTTTTTTTCCGACTTGAGGTCGGGTCGCTGCTCCTCCGCCGTCGAGGTCCGCCTGCTCCGGTTCTGGGAGGCGAGAAATCCACGCTGGGGTGGCGAGTTCATGTGGATTGACATGCTTTTGGTCGACGTCAATGTAAGATATCTTTGAGATTTTATGTCGTCTACATATATATTCCCACAACCGTGTTCTTAATCTCCCCCGTGTTTTTATATCTTGACGCAGGCAACTATTATGCAGGCGACCATTAATGCTAGCCGTGTGGGAGCTTTCCGACCAAAACTCACCGCCGGTAACATGTACTCCATCTCAGGTTTTGATGTCAGTCGATGTGCTTCGAATTTCCGGTTGACTGATTCTACATTGATGATCCGGTTTGCCGAGTCAACCGGTTTTGATGAGATTACCAAACTGGTTTCGCCATTACCCATAGAGGGATTCAGATTTCGTGATGATACCGAGCTGATAGGTTTAGCTAACACGAGCTCTCAGCTCCCAGGTAAAAAACAATTCTACACTGCTCTCAATTTCAGAAACTGTAATAACCGTATTTTTCTGTTCAGACATCATCGGTGAGCTAATCGCCGTCAAGAGCACCGTCACTGATCCGCCTGAGGAGAAAAACCGTGTCATGGCCACCATCAAATTGGAAAGGTAGCTCTTACAATTTTGTTATGCTTAATAATATAGACTCTTTGCTAAATCTTTATAAAACGTAGCCTAATTTCACGCTTCTTATTTTCATTTTTTTCCTTGGTCTTTACATCTCCCTCAGTGATGTCTCTGTCACATTGAGCATCTTCGATGCCAAAGCTGTCGATTTCCACCAGAAACTAGACAGAATGCTTATTGATCCAAAAGTCATTGTTGCTACTAGCATCAATCCCAAAATGGTCGGAGGTACTTGGCGGATCTTACAACTATTAAGATTAGAATTTGTTTTGTCTACCATCGACCATTATATGTGATTATAGTTCTGGATTGCTTACATAATAGGATGTGTTTTTAAAACTCTTACCATGCTCAGCCATTGTAGTATATTCAAGTTTTTTTACTACTTCTGATTTTGTTAGGATTATGCTGGGTTTTATTAAATTCTGACATCAGTCATATAAATATATTTTTCCAGGCCGTTTATTCCTCAATGCAACTTCTGGAACCCACATCTACTTTGACAAAGAGACCACTGCAAGGGAGAACTTTTTCTATCGGTAGGATAAGGGGATGATATAGTAATATATATGTAATCTAAGTGGGATGATTTATTTAAATAGCAGTGATTAACATTCCGGTTTGGTTAACTGCAGATTGGTGGTCAGAGACACTGGACTTCCACCTGCTGCACCTCTGCTGAAAGGATATGCTAAAATGGAGTCACTAACCATAGCTGAGATCAATTCATTCATCATCACGGCTCCATCACAGGTACTGAGATTAAATTGATGTTTGATAGTATGTCAAATCTGTTGCATCAAATAATAGATATCTCATCTTTAACATAGGCTATTCATTTCATTTGCTCTGGAAAAGTGTGTCGGGTTGACCCAGAGAAAGGGTGGTGTTATGTTGCATGTTCCAAGTGTTCTAAAAAACTCCAACGCACTGTCAATTCTTTCACGTGTGAACGTTGTGTCAATCACCATGCTGTTGGTTCCCTCCGGTTTGTAGCCTCATGATATTATGTTATCCTTATTTGGTTATGTGATAATTATTTTCTAACTTCGTATGTACTGTTATTTAATTTCAGTTATCGAGTTGAGATGGTGATTGCTGATGATACTGCGGAAGGGGTGTTTGTTTGCTTTGATGGTGTGATGACTAAGTTACATAATCTGAAAGCAAGCGAAGCTGTTAAGCTGCTGGTAAGAAACACAACATGACACTTAATGTTATATCTGATATATAAATTATTGTTTGTGTCAACTTAATGTTATATCTGATATATCTCTGTTATTGTTTTTATCTAAATTAGGCTGGAGATGGTGTGAATCCTGAAGACGCACAGATACCTCCATTTATTGCCGACATGGAGGGAAAAGACTACACTTTGAGTTAGGGTAAGTGAGTATAACTTCAGTGTGAACCATCAGACGTTTACCATCACGCGCATTCTGAAGGATGGTGATCGTCCCCCGGTTCCTGACTTTGTGGAAAACGTAAGATGAGTTTCTGATTTTTTTTTTTTTTTTTTTGAATCTAAATGTTAAATTTATAACTCCAAAAAAAGACCTTTACAAGAATGTTTCTGAAATGAGAGCAAAGATACAATTTTTAAAGAAACTACAAAACTCCATCGAACTCCTTTTACTTCTCTACCAAGCAGCATCATAAACCCTGCACTTTCTTAAACCACTCCAACTCAACTCAGCTCTCACTCCTACTAGGATTTGCAAACCCAGCCCTCACTCCTACTGAGTTCCCAGCTCTCACTCCTACTGGGTCAGAAACACAAACATCCAACCACCACCCTCAAGCTATTCTCGTTGTAAACCAGTATTGTAAACCACCCTCAAGCTTCTTATCTCTCCCCTTCTGAATAATAGAGAATTTATTTCTCATAGTCTTATCAAGCAGTTTTGCTAACAGTTCAGGCGGAGATTCTTTCTCTCCATGCCTTCTTCTGTTCCTCTCTCTCCAAATGCAATGAATAGTAGCTTGGAATAAGTACCTCATTGTGAAGAGAGAGATGCTATCTTGTCTCTCGTCCATAATAATTTCCATAATAGCAGACCAAGCCGTAGTGTATCTATTTCTGAGCACACCTTCAGCCAGGCACCTCCATATTTGCTTTGAAAAAGAGCACTCAAAGAAAAGATGTTCCACGGACTCCAAAGGCTCTTAACAGAAAACACATGAAGTGTCAATACTACAACTCCAATGTATCATTCTGCTACCAGTGGACAATCTATCCTTCAATGCAACCCAAACCAGAAAAGAAAATTTGGGAGTTTCATGTTTGAACCAAACCGCCATGTACCAACCGGTCTCCTGATACTTTTCTCTAACAATTTGCCAAGTTTTTGACGTAAAAAATTCCCCTTATACTTGTCACTTCCTTCCCTCCACAGGGAAATATCCTTCTCCTCCGGCTTCATACAATTCTTAAACTTTTCAATTTCCAATTCAATCTTATTTAGAATCTCATAACGATGACGCTTTCTTCTATGATATAAGCAATCCTCCACCTTAGCATTCTCCATAATTCCCATCTCAATACAGCCACCACCCCCCAATAACTCCTTTAAACAACCTAAAGGAGACCATTTATCATACCAAAAGGAAGCATTCTTTCCATTTCTAACCTCCACCTTATAGAAATGCTTTGCCTTCTCCCGATACTTTAAAATCTTCCGCCAAACCCAAGAGCCAAGTTGCGATGTGTCCTTTACTGACCATATTGAGTCCTTACGAATCAGATACTTCTTTACCCAACTAACCCAATGTGAGTCTGCCGACAAAATTCTCCAGATAAGTTTCAGCACACAAACAACATTCATCTCTTTTAAAGATCGGATGCCTAAGCCCCCTTCCTGCTTTGTTCTACACACGTCCTTCCAAGCTATTTTTGCTTTTCTACCATTCAACTCAACACCAGACCACAGGAAAGCCGAGCAGAGTTTTTCAATCTCAGCAACACAACCACTTGGCAATCTGAATGCTGCCATCCAGAAGTTGCCAAGGCTCATAATAACTGAGTTTATTAGCTGAAGACGACCTGCGTAGTATAGAAAACGTCCTGTCCAGGAACCAATTCTCTTACGAATCTTCTCAACTAATGGTAAGAAATCAGTTACCGTCATGTTCTTCACAAGCAATGGGAGGCCAAGGTATCGGACCGGAAGTTTACCAGCAGCAAAAGGGAAATGGCAGAGGATTTCTTCTTTCTTCTGATCTGAGAGCCCAGCCATAAACAAAGTTGACTTCTCTAAGCTGATCTTTAGACCAGACATCTTGTCAAACTCCTCAAAAACACCCAGAATTCCTTCAACTGATCTCTTTGTGCCCTCTGTAAACACCATCAAATCGTCAGCAAAACATAAGTGTGTGAGACCTATATTTTTACACTTAGGATGAAAACCCATTTGATCCCTCATAACCGCTTCATCCAGCGTCTTTGAAAGCACGTTCATACAGATGACAAATAGATATGGTGATAAAGAGCAGCCTTGCCTCAAGCCCCTTCTACTTTGGAAATACCCAGCCAATTCTCCATTGACTTGAACAGAAAAAGAAGCTGTTGTGATACAAAGCGAGATCCACTTGATAAACCTTCCCGGTAAACCCAAAGCAGTGAGCGTGTTGATCAAGAAAGGCCACTGCACATAATCAAACGGTTTAGAAATATCAATCATCATAGCACACCGAGGAGATATGTCATCCTTGTGATAATCTTTCACTATCTCAGTCGCCAAAAGAACATTTTCCATCAGCAACCTTTCTTTGATGAATGCCGACTGATTCAAAGAAATAAATTTAGGAAGAACCCCTTTCAACCTATTTGCAATGAGCTTCGATATCACCTTATATAAGACGTTGCAGCACGATATAAGCCTGTAGTCCTTCATCACCTTTGCTTCATCTTTTTCGGAATTAAAGCCAAAATGGTTGAATTGAGTCCCTTTGGCAAAAATCCTTTTTCAAAGAATGACTGAACAGCCACAGTGACATCATCTCCTATAACTTGCCAGGACTCTTTGAAGAATTCTGAAGTGAATCCATCAGGCCCTGGTGACTTGTGAGCAGGCATTTTAAAAAGGACACTTCTGATCTCTTCTTTAGTCACCATCTTTTCCAACCTCTCACAGTCAATAGAGCTACATTGATACCCTAGGAGCTCTCTTAGTCTTTCAACAGTGGCACCCTCGAAATTATCTGGCACAGTTTTCATAAACCGAGTGAAGAAATTTTCAGCCTCCTCCTTTATCTCAACATCCGACTTTGCAATAGACCCATCATCACGAACAATCTCTCGAATACTATTACGCACTTCTCTTATTTTAATGGCATTGTAGAAAACTCTATTGTTGCCATCTCCAACCCCCAACCAATGTAATTTCGATATCTGCTTGTAAAATTCCTCCTCCAGAGTTGCTAAACGTTGCCACTTTTCATAAGCATTGGCCTCCACTTGAATCGCAGATTGAGTTGGCAATTCTAAAGTCTCTTGTTGTTTTTCACATAAACTCTTAAAAGCCTCCTTAGTTCGCTTATGCAAATCCCCCAACTTCTCTCTACACAGCAAACGTAGAGGTTGCTTTAAAGCTTTGAGCTGTTTTGTAAGCCTGAACATAACCATAGTAGAATTAAACAGAGCAGCATTCCTCCTCCAGTGGCTCTCCACCAAAGGAATGAACTCTGGCATCTTCGTTATGCAGTTTGAAAACTTAAACGGTCGTCTCTTCTTTCTCTCCTCCTCCCCAAACTGAATCCTACACCGAAGATGATCTGAGCAACCCCCAGATTCAAACACACAATAAGCTCTTGAAGGAGATTGCAACCAATTCTCATTAATAAGAACTCTGTCCAGCTTCTTGCAAATTAACCCATCCTCTCTCTTATTACACCAAGTAAACCTTGGTCCCTGATAACTCAAATCTATTAAACCGCAGTAATTAGTAGCATCTTGAAAGTCTCTCATGCCCTGTGGAAGCCGCGGAGAAACAGCAAACTCAGAATGCTCCTCCCCCTCCAAAATCTCATTAAAATCTCCCATTAACATCCACTTTTTATTCCTAAATATAGGAGCATCATGATGACTTCGCAAGTCATCCCACAACTCCCTACGATCATCCACACCATTTGCAGCATATATGAATGAGCAAAAGAATTCCTCCTCTAAATCCTCCAATTTAACTGAGCAAGTAACAATCTGACTACTCTTATATACTGGACTCATCCTCACATTATTCTTCCATACTACCCAAATTCTTCCCAAATTATGAAATTCGTAATTTGTTATACTATCCCATCCACCAAAAACTCCTTCTAGTATACTACCCGCTTTCCTATCTTTAACTCTTGTTTCAAGTAAACAACCAAAGAGCTTATCTCTAACCCAATTCCGAACCACCTCATGCTTAAGTCTTTTATTAAACCCCCTAATATTCCAAAAAAACCCCACCATTAATGATGTAATTTTTTAGAACCCCTTATTTGATTAGCAGCTTCAGAAAGAACTCTATGATTTGTTTTGGAGTTCCTTGGTAAGTACTATCTTCCACCTTCCATAACCACCCCCTTAGTCTTCGCATTAACTTCAACATTGTTTACCTCATCCTTATTAATATTATTGCCACGCAGGGAAATATCTCCAGCAACTCTTCTTTCCTCCTCTTCATCCTTACTATCCTCCAGATCACTCAGAGCAGCAAATCTTGAAGGCGTTATTTCAACTCGATCAAAATTCAACTCCTTGGCCGATTTCCACGGGCTCCTACTAGCCTTCTCTTGAGCAACCTTTTTCCAACTATGCTCGGCCATACCTACTAAACCCTCCGGCTTCTCTAGACTCATTTCCCCTTCCTCCACCTCCTTATCTACATCCAACCCTCTATTGGTGTCTGTTATATCATCTAGAGTTTCCTCTCCCTCCGTAACCCCAATACTTTCCTCCGACTTACTACTCTCACCCTTACTTGTACTATGAGTACCTTCCTTCTCTTTTCCTACACCACTCTCCGGTAGTTCCAAATCTCCAATAGGGGACTTGTCTACCTCCTCCTCCTTCTTCGTCACATTACACAATAACTCCTTATGACCCCATTTGCCACAATTAGAACATTTCGAAGGCAGCCATGGATAAGTGAACTCCACCAGAACTTCCTCCTGCCCTATCTTGAAATTGATCTTACTCGGTAGAACCTTTGATAAGTCAGCTTTAACGCATACCTTGGCAACCTCAAAGTTTGTACAAGCTAACGTTTCCGGATGAAGTTTATCAGGCACACCAGCGGCACTTGCAATAAAACTCAGCCCCTCCCAAGAATACATACTCATCAGAACCTTGTCAAGGTGAACCCACAGTGGAGTCAACTTCCTCTCAAATTCATCCTCCACCGGGGACCATTTCGAGACCACCATCGGAATCCCAGCTATGTTCCACATACCTCGCCTTATTATCTTCTCCCTTATCACATCACTCGGTACTCTAATTCTCATCGACATCGAATCCATTTCATAAACATCTATCTTCATCCCCTTTATCCCAAATGTCCAGATCTTATTTACAATCAGATGTACCTTCGCAATGTGTGGAGCCGTATCCAAGAATCGTGCTATGACAAAGTCTCCCCAGAGCGGGTTCGCATCATCCACAATCTCCGATGGAACTTCTACAGCCTGTTTCCCCTCCAAAGTAGAGATATCCAAATCGTATTTTGTCAGAACCTTCTTCTGTTTCGCTGCATCGATCCATGACTTCTGCATCTTTCCATCCCGAGCCAAAGGAACCACCGGACCAGTGTCCAGAGTCTCCACCGACTCCATCTTGTCACCGCCGAGAACCGTTATCGCCTTGAGAATCGCCTTGTGAATCGCCTTTTTCTCTTAGTAAAACGGTGCCGTTTCCACTCTCTCTGATGCACATTACCCCAAAAATCGAGTTTCTGATATTATGTATTAGCGTTGAAAGGTTAATGCTGTTGATTTCCATTGGTTTGATCAGGGTGGTGACGGTCATGATGGGAACGATGGTGCAGATGGTAAACAAATCTCTGCCAGTCTTGGGAACGGAAGTGCCAGGATCGGAATAGCAAATGACGATGTCTCTGCTCCTACCGGTGGCGCCCCTGATGATTTCCCGAGCTCATCTTCCACCGTTGGGAAGAAGGCGCGTCTCGCCTAATAAGTGACTCCTGTCGTCCGTTTTTATCCCTTTCAGTTTCTTAATAAATGTTTTTCCCTTTTCCCCTATGTGGGTAGTCTATTTCTAAGTAAGAGACTTTCTCGAATTATATTTATAAAATAAATGTTCCATGCAGCGTTAATCATTTATATGAGGTCCGTTCTCTTCATTTGACTGCGACTCCAGAACATGATACATGTGTGCAAATTCGAATAATATCCCATCATCACTAAATGTATCCTATGATTCTTCTCGCAACTAATCATGTAAGATCAGCTAACGGCATTGATCTTTTAGGACATTGCATGTTCAAATTGTATGAGTTCTGAAATCTGTGATGCATGTAATCATACAGACTGTAGCTTCTATTTTAATTTCTTCCATATTTTTGAATAGATCACCACATGTGCATTGATACTTTAGATATATCGTTTTACTAGCGTCCAAAACATATGCCGTATGAAGAAACATTCATTTCTACCGAGTTGCACACGATTTGCTTGCTATACACAAACATCCAGTTACACTATAGCCGAATTCGAGGTACGTATATCGGTTAGGTATTTCTTAAATTCTCTTTCAGATTGGGCTAAAAACGAAAGGATGTTACACAACTACACTTTCCATTGAAAATCATAAGTTATGCAAACGACCATGCACAGGATGAAACTCACGATATACGTCCAAACAAATTAGTTAAATTCATGGATTTAAAACAGATAGTGCAATCGGGAGAAGTACTCGAAAGAAAATGAAACCTAAAAACATCCTCATTCAAAATCAAGAGAGCGTATAATCCAATTAAACACCTTGATTACCAATATTCACACCTTTCCAAATCGAAATCCCAAAATTATGTGCGTACAATCAGACGTTATGAAACACGTTACAAAAAACTCCGTTTGAAAATTTCCAAATATGAAATAAAACATAAAAAATGGAACATCACACCCGCCAAGAAAACAAAAAAATCAATAATAATAAACCTATATCTAAATCACCGCATACAAACTTTAAATAGGGTGTGTAAATTATTAAGGTTTCGAAAAGGGATTATAAGACGTTAAATATAATGAATCAGAAGAAATAATTACAATAATCATTTTTAGGTGATGGTGGTCGATAAATATTATAATACTTTTCTTTATCGTTACCAACCGATATTGTATCAGGATCAATCGATGATTCTCTTGGCCTTGAGTTGGCGTCTAAACTTTCGTCTATGTGTACTCCATATCGAAAACTTTTTCTTTGGTTAAGAATTAAGATCAAGTGTAGTATCTAAAACTTACGTTTTTAAAGTTTAATAATAGAACATTTTTAAAAAAAAATTATTGGTACAATTTTTAAACTATGTAAATCTGAGGTTAGGACACGTTAGAAAACAATAACTCTAGCAAGAAACCGCATCGAACCGACAAAACCCTCCTATATAAACAAGTGCCCAATCAAAAAAAAAAAAATATATACATTCTTTAGCTATATTCCATTATTTCCAAACGAGATTTAGGCAGATCGTTACTGTCTTACTTTCGTTGGGTTATCTTACGCACTTTCTTTCTAAAATAAAATACATAACAACAAAAAATTCATTCATATATCCAACAAAGGTTAAACAAAAATATATTCTTCCAAAAATATGAAATATGAACAAACATCACTTCACTGATCGGAACATGTCGTAATTCTCTTTAAACAATATTTTCGGACACAACAAATAAAAAAAAAAATTAAAAATTTAAAAACCGAATTTCCAATCCGGCGCCCGCCCCTAGTGTTTTTATATACTAAAGCGCAAGTCAACTAATCAAATTCTGCCATATCATTTTTGTTTATAAAATTTTTTTAAAAAATCAAAATTTTTAAAAAAAAATCAAAAATTATACCAAAATAATGATTTAACAAACGTATCACCGTTTGTTTTTTTTTCTGAAACAAACTAACTATCCATGATTGTTATTTTTCCACGATATTTTATTCTTATGTTCCTATATCTCTAAAATTTGACAGACAATCCACAAACGAAAACAAAACGATCAATCATTTGAGAATAGAATAAAAAAGGTTTATACTCTTTCTTCTTCAATCTCTATACCTTAACTTAAAACTGGAGCCGTATAGAATGTCATGAGCCAGTGTCGAGATTTTTTGAGTTAATGAATTTAAGCAACCCAAATTCTTCAATTAGGCTATCTTACTTCTCTGTATGATTAGTTGGCTTAGATGAAGCACCTGATTGCTGCATCGGAACCTATTTAGCGCTAAGAAAGAAGGTTTGAGAAACATTGGTTATGGTAGATCTGAGTTGTTGGATATTAACTAGTGCAATGCGACTTCAGCATAGGAAAAAGAGAAACAAAGTGTGAAGAAGAAAGAAAGCAAATGTAAAGAATGTACAATATGAAGAACTGATTTTGATAAAAGGTAAAACCAATTCTATAATTCACCACTTTGATCTGATTTGTTTAAAATTCTACAGTCAATACTTTGATATTCACTGAGAAATTTTGGCTGTATGGTGTTAGGAACTTTTTTGTAACTGAAAGTGATAGGAACTTCAAGTATTTGAAAACATGCAAAATTGATGCCATGGAAAAAATGATCAAATTCGAAGACAAAATTAAATGGACAGGCATACGTTTGATGTTATATTAATGTAGTATGTGAGTTTGTCATGTATGTCATATATATAGTAAAGGTATATTAGCATACACTAAATAGTAAATATCACATATTCTCAAACTAAAGAGTTTGAATAGATCCGAAATTAATTCACAAGATTTCAAAATTAATTAACAAATTGAATTATAACTTTGGAAATTTACAACAAAGAAAATTCTTTTGTAACATTCTTCTTAATTAGAATATATGTTAATAAACTCAATCTCTTAATTGAACATGGAAAAACTATGTTTCCAATTAGAAATGTATGTTTGTTTGATATATATTCAACAGAAAATAAAGTGTTAATGTAGTAAATATCTTTGTAACATCTTCTGTGTTTAAATTTTATAATCTTAGAGTGAACATGTTTTTTTTTTTAAATAGTGTAACTAGTAAACAAATTATATTAATGTTTATGTAAGAAACTGTACAGTTTATGTACTCTTGATTAGCTACAAGATTATTTGTTCTAATGCTCTAATTGTAAGTATGATAGATCATGAAATACTTAGACGAGTCAGTTCAGTTTAGGATGATACAAAGCAAAAAGTACAAGTTTTTAAATTAAGCAATAAGATTAGTTTATGGTGACAAAGAAAACTATAACAATTAACCCAAAAATCAAATTTAAATAACAAAGATAAACTTTCAACCAACAATTGCTAAAGTATGAACATATGGCCATTGATAATTGATCAAGAATAACTAAGCTATAATCTAAGATTTCAAATGATTCAATATATACAAATTTTATAGGTCTAGATCACTCCAGTGAATTACTTTACTTCCATGACAATAACTATATGTTAATCATGTGCCAAACACTAACTTCAATTAGTTTAAAAAAACTTCAATTAGTCAAACACAATCAAGATGCATTAATCAAGTGTCTAATAAACACTAAGTATTGACAATATCAGTTTTCATTGGATAAATATGTAAATGACAATACTATTTTTATTCATTACATTGCATGAATAAAAGTTAAAATTATTTGAAAATAGATAATTAATATTATTTTTAATTTATTATTTTGCTTTTACCTTTAAAATGTTGGAATATTTAATAAAATAATATAAAATTAATGTATTTTGAAAGAAGAGAAGTAGACTAATAGATTAAAGATGATCGTGAATGATATAGTGAAGGTAAAATCAGTTTGACTGTAGTTCAAAAAGAAAAAAGTTTGACTCTGACCAATTCAGTCAAATTAAACGGGCCGAGGATAACTCAATGGGCTGAAAATAACTCCGTCATTTTACATCAATTCTGGTTAAAGAGAGAGAGTAACGCGGTCAAATTTTAAACGCCGTCGTTTAACCTCGTTAAAAAGGGCCCATCAAGTGATGAGTCCAACTCGGCGGCAAGAAAACCAACAAACTCGCCTACTAATCCAGACCCTCGTGTTATGTATGTCATTAATATTTTTATTAACATGATAATAATAAAGTATGTATCATCATCACCATCATAGGTCTATATATATTCCTCCTCCTCTTCCCCATTTTCTTGTCTTGAAAACATAATATTCTCTCCATCTTTTCCAGAGTATATTCAGAATCAAAAATACTGATTCTATCTACTAGGATGGGTGAGGTCAGTCATATACTAACCTCCTTCTTCTTTTTACTATTCTCTCGATCTCTATATATGTCTATTTGTTTAACGTTTGGTTTCAATTAGCAGAAAAAGGAAGAAACGGCGACTAAACCTGAAGGAGACAAGAAGCCAGTCGATGGTGGTAATAACACCGTCGTGGTTATGAAGCTTGACATGCATTGCGAAGGTTGTGGCAAGAAAATCAAACGACTCTTGAAACATACCAAAGGTATAGTCATCTCTCTCTCTATATGAGTTTATGGTAGCATCAAGTTTAAAAATCAAAACCCTAATTAACGTGAGAATTCTCTTGTTATTTTTATATAACTCAGGAGTGGAAGATGTGAAGATTGATTATAAGGCTGACAAGTTGACGGTGATCGGAAACGTAGATCCCACGGCAGTTCGAGATAAAGTAGCTGAGAGAATTAAGAGAAAGGTGGAAATCGTCTCTACCGTGGCGCCTAAGAAAGAGGCTCCTCCTCCTTCAGGCGGTGAAAAGAAGGTGGCCGATGAAAAACCTGCCGAGAAGAAGCCTGCCGATGAGAAACCCGCCGGCGAAAAGAAAGTTGAGAAGAAAAATGACGAAGGAGAGAAGAAAGCTTCTCCTCCTGCTCCACCAAAAGAGGTAATAATAATATCACTGTCTTTGTGATTATTATTTCTTCCATTAAAAAACTCTTTTTGTCACATATTTAAAAGTTTAGAATATATTTAAGTCAATTTGGTTGTGGTCTTTAACGTGTGTTGCACCTCAAAAACCTTTACGGTATTTACACTCGTTCTTATCCAATTCCATTGGTGGAAATGTTTTTTTCTTCATTTATTATAATTAACGCCTTTTTATTATAATTAAATCAAAGATTAATCATTGTTTCTGATGTGATGCAGAGCACGGTGGTTCTGAAAACGAAACTACATTGCGAAGGTTGCGAGCACAAAATCAAGAGAATAGTCAACAAAATTAAGGGTAAGATTATATGATCCTAATCAAATCCATTTTTTTGAAGCGTTCTTAGTATTAAATAAATTGATACGGTTGGTGATGGAAGATAACGGAAGCAACAAGAGAGATTAAATATTCTTATAATTAGGTTGACCTACCTCTAGGTAGCTTCTCAATTTATTATTTTAGTGAAAATATATCAAATGGTTAGCTATCAAGTGGTTAGCCTAATCTATGGGTTAATCTAATTATTCTACTAATTACAGTTAATTAATTAATGTTATGAAATGTTTATTTTACAGGGGTTAAATCAGTGGCCATTGATAGCGCCAAGGACTTGGTGATAGTGAAGGGGATCCTTGACATTAAACAGCTCACTCCTTATCTCAACGAGAAGCTTAAACGCACCGTCGAAGTTGTTCCGGCCCAAAAAGAGGAGGCAGCTGCGGCGGCTCCAGCTGGCGGGGAGAAGAAGGACAAAGGTGCTGGTGAAAAGAAAGAGACAAAAGATGTTGGTGATAAGAAGAAAGAAGTTGCATCAGCCGGAGACGGTGGTGCAACGATGGATGTGAAGAAATCGGAGTATAGCGGGTATGGCTATCCACCTCAGCCGATGTATTACAACCCACCAGGACAAGTGTATGGTCAACACTACATGATGCAAGGTCAATCATCTCAATCCTATGTGCAAGAACCGTATGTGAACCACCAAGGATATGTACATGAAGCGTATACTAATCAAGGATACGGCCAAGGGTATGGACAACAAGCACCACCACCACCGTACATGAACCACCAAGGGTATGCAGATCCCTATGCTCATATGCGTGCTCCCGAGATGTTTAGTGATGAGAATCCAAATGGGTGTTCTGTTATGTGAGTGAAATGAGAGGGGAGGAAAGTGTAAATAACTAAGAAATATAGGGAGAGAAAAGGTAGATATGACAGAATTGTAATACTAAAGAAATCACGGATACTTCCGAGTCCGGTAATCTAAACCGGCAAGATTGGTCGGGTAGAACCGGTTTTTGAGAGGCGTGGGTTGGGTTTCATATGTTGTTGTTTGGTTTACTCTATAGACTTTTATAAATATAGTTTCACTTATTATAAGATTGGATCATCCTCTGTTTTACAACTTTTGTGCTAATGTATGTAGTAGTCAAGTGATCATAATGAAAAAAACTCTTAGCTATCTAAAACTTTCTCTTCAAGAAAAGCATCTTTTACAATTATGAAAGTGAATGGTCCACCACTGCACCACATTAATAAGAGTCGTATAGGAGTCGGTTACCGCATTTCAAATCAAACATCGCAACGGGAGAAGAATCATTTCATTTCATACTGGTCTTTCTTTCGAATAGGTGGATTTGTAACGCAAGCTCTATACTATATTATACAAATGTCGCTACCGTAATAGTATATTTCAGTAGATAAGATTTTAAGCCGTTGAAAATTTCCGGGATTAAACGAAGGCCATAAGAAATTGTGAAAAGGTATAATGTTTTACTGTCGATCAAAAGTTTCTGGCTCGATATGGACACCTGAAACGTAAGATTCTTTTGGATTCAGGATTTCAGGGTCATAATATCCCTTCGTTTACCATAAAGGGTATGTTACACTATAATGGTGGATGACAAGATAAAACACATACAACCTGCATTCGAAGATACATATAAGAAAGAAAAAACATATAGTATATTTTAAAGTATATGAGTTTATGATTGTATTAATTGGGAAAAATATTCGACTCTCATTGGTTCAGTACGTAAAGCCAAAAAGAAGAGTCGATGGAGACGTTGTTTATGGATGTTAGGTATGAAAGAAGTTATGATGTTGAATTTAGTTAGTAACACTTATCATAATTAAATAGATCAAATTGCTATATGTATTAATAAAGCCCTTTGTATCAGGAAAATTGTGCTAGAGTTAAAACTGTCTTCATCGAATATGATCATCAAAACTTGTCAGTGGCCAGAATTGCGAAGGGACAAATAACTATTAGCATTCTCCAATAGATACATTTATATACAGAGAGTGATGTGATAACTAAATTATTGAAGATGCTCATTTTAGTGTTTTTAAAATAATGTATCTAATTGTTTCTAACCAGTCTGGCGTATATTTACTGGAAAGTAAACATATATGCGTGATGTTCGTGATGGAAAAGTATACAACAACTATACAAGAATTGCGGTAAAAAAATAGATTATACAAGAATTTATAATGTTCATAATGTATAGGTTATTGTATTAAATATATTCCATAGTTTTCTATGATATATACTTGGATTATTTATCAATTGCTATAAAACACTCGTTCAAGATAGTGTAGAATCTTCCAGCTTTGCATGACAAGAAAATTATTATAATTAAACACGAACCATTGAAAAGTTATCGGTCCCTTTAGTGAATAAAATTGTTGGTTCCTTTCACACTCTCATGCCACATCCAAAGTTAGTGGGTGCAGATGAAGCTAATCTTCTTCTGATTAATTTCCTAAAATCCATTAATATATTATAGAGACAGCATGTGAGTATTCTGAATCAAACACTAACGCTTGGTGTAAATTTCTTTAAGCTATGCCTATAATATGATTATATTTATACGCAACTTAATTAACCATACAGTAAACAATATACGTATTAAAAACCAGCATAATTAATAAAAGTATATTTTAAGATTATGTGACTGAATAGTTATCTGGATGAACCGACGTATGATCACGTTTACGTGTGTGTTTCTCAACAAATTATTCTTATTTTATAGTCGCCAAAACGCGGATAATGCTTTTAAGGTGAGAAGGTTCATGCTGTTTCGTACGTCAGCAGACACTTTTTTGTTTGTATTTTTGCATCATGTCCCTTAACTAAAAGCTTTAATTACTTATTCTCTTTTTTTGGGTAGGTTATTCATTAAACTAAGAAAATTGATTATTACTATAGTAGATAACATAAACTTTTGTTTAAATATATTTAAAATGTCATCTCCTTGTCGCTGTCATACGCAACAAATCGCAAAAGACAAATAATTTAAATGAGAAGATATAACGCATATTCGAATTTATATAGTGTTTTTTGGTAACTGTATAGTGTTTGTTTTATTCTTTACTAAAAACAGTAAATCACACAAATGTACAATTAATTAGCTGCGTAATCTGATTTGTTCAATTAATAAACAAAAAAATTAAGAGTATCATATGATACAGAGATTCAGCTGCCACCTTCTAATCCTCTATTAACTAATATAGCTAAGATTGAATGAACAAATCAACAACATCTTGCATAATTGTTCGAAATCTTAATATGAAAAAAGGAACAAAAATGAAACTCGAGTATTTTTTTATCGATAAGGTTCTATGTGAGCTCCACAAAAGATAATATAAAATTGTATATCATACTTCCTCCAAATCATTTGCTGATGCGAAAACCTAACAAACACTTAAAGATATAATAATGACATATACAATTTTGTTAATGCCATTTCAAAAAGATCGGATCCGTCAGCGACAATCATATAAATATTATATTGGCATTATGATGACAATAAGAAGTAAGGTGAAAGTAAAACCATGAACTAAGAGCATTATTATCCAAGAGTATTTAGGGGATGTTTAGATAGTGTTTAGGGAAGGGGGTCCACAAAAAATAAAAACTGAGGGTTTAGAGTGTTTCCGTAAGTGCTCAATTTTTGTTCGTTGTTTGGTTTGTTCTGCGGATTCCATAACACATGGCGATCCGCGATTGATTTTTTTTATAATTTAAAAAAAATAAAATTTAAACACTCCTTAATGGGGTGCTAAGATAATAGTGCTTTAAAATGTCATGTGTTTCTGACTCAGTTCTAAGTGTGACATACAATTACCACAGTACTTAATACTTTATTTTACCAGTAATATCTTATTAATTCTTAATAAACATTTTGTTTTACAAAATAGACATCCTAATATCAATATGACAACTAAAGCCGATGCCTGCGAGAACTTCTGCACTGATTCTACTCATGTGGTTATGACGTATGAGAACTTTCATTATGATGATCATATTAATATTGTACAAATGATCACAGGGGTGAACTTATGCTGTTCGTAACAGAATCACATGACCCCGACTAAAATTTATATTTCTTTAGTTAATCTGGTTCAAATTTTTTTTTTTTTTATGTAATCAGCTTAAATTCTATGAATGTGCTCCTAGCTATCTTGAAATTTATAAAATGACCGCAATTAAAAGTATGTTTAGATCCGCCCCTGAATGATCATGAGGCATTATGATAAAACTATGTATATATGATTAATGGTGTGGGGTTTAATGTTGACCTGTTATAATTAGTGGGATCGGTCCACGTCAGTCCCACTTGGCAACTTTTGTCTCTGTTTGAGTTACACGTCACGAGCCTCCCCACCGGCAAGGTCCATTTTTAATAGCTGGAATACATAATTGCCAAAATAGAAAGGTCTCCTTATTATGTGTAGTGTGTTCCATGAAACTTATATAAGAACATGCTACATGTGATGTCTTAGACTGTAAGCACATGTACACATTCACTTTCACATATTTTGGTCTGATTTTGTTTACATCCCTCATTATTAAGGGTTATAATATGTAGGTTGTAATATATGATTATTTTAAAATATTGTTCGTAAGATTTAATTTAACCTAATATATATATATACAAAGAGCTGTTCTACTTATTTATTTATTTATTAAATGGATCTATTTGTTTTATGTACAAACAGTTAAATACCACCTATGAATATCCAAAATTTTATATATATGAATACATAATTTTTTGGATCTAAAATCGTCCAATCTTAGCATCTCATATCTACAGATATATATATCTTGATTTTTTGTGTGAATGTGCTATCTCCACATGATAACATGCTATAACTGATTAAATGGAAATAATACCAATACATGTACTATGTAGCTCTTAAGTCTACGACTATATATATTTATATACTGTAACACTGAAAGCACTAGAGCTATATATTTAATCGACGTAAACGACATATACAATATCTTTCAAGTTTGATCATGTTGAAGGACGAAAATGTATAAGGGAAACTCAAAGCCAAGCTGATATTACCACATCAAGAAAATATAAACAATTTGTATTATTAATAAAAGACAAGTTGAATATTATAAGGAAAATCAGACTTTTTCGAAATTTACTTGGTCGCGCAGCCACACGTGCAACCATGTTTCCACCTTGTTTCATTGTTTGGTTTTAAATGTACGTATATTTTTTTTGACAAAAAAATGTACGTATTAACTAATCAGTTTTTCTTATAAATGTCAATTCAGTCGCTTTCTCTCTCTAGAAATTAGCTCTGTCTTCTCTCTAACCAAACTCCACCGTGAACAGTGTCTCCGGCCGACGGCGTGGGCTCTCATAGCCACCGTCGGTCCGGCTTGTGTTTTTTAGTTTTTTTCTTGTATTTCTTTATCTTTGTGTTTGTTTATAGTGTCGTTTGGTTCCGTTCCGATATCGTTGGTTCTTCGGAGCTGCATGTCCGGTGATCAGTTCCAGTATCGCACCTACCGTTACTGGCTTTAGACTCTGGGACCGTGCCGTTTTTCTTTTTTCGGTGGTGGTCGCCGGCTATCGTATCCTTGGAAGTGCCCGAGTGGTGTCATGTCTTCGTTTTCGTGATTGGTGGTATGCGTGTGGATGAGATCTCGATTATAATCGATTGAAGCTCTCCAAAACTCAAGATGTATGGGTGGTAGTCACTGAATCTCCTATACTTTCAATACAGTCGTTGGAAGTGGTGTTTCAGTGGTCGTGGTAAAGTTCCCGGTTGATTCCGGTGGTCAAGTTTGCCTGATTCAGATGTTGTCAGTGAAGATGATGATGGCTCGTGTTTCAGGTGCGATGCCGGTGGCATACCGATGAGAGGTCCCGGCGGTGAATTCAAGTCGTAAAGATGGTGACGTTTCAATTCTTAGCCACGCGTCTCGTTTGTGTTTTGTGTATTAACACG